GGAAGGAAGGAAGGAAGGAAGGAAGGAAGGAAGGAAGGAAGGAAGGAAGGAAGGAAGGAAGGAAGGAAGGAAGGAAGGAAGGAAGGAAGGAAGGAGGGAAGGAAGGAGAGAGTCATCGTTACGTACGATCATAAAACAAAATCTCCAAGGGGAGGGGAGAGACCATAAATTGAACTGTCACCTTTCACAGCATATTCCCCCTCCTCTTTTGACAAGTAACACCCAGGGGAAAAAAAAAAAATCAAACGGTTGGCAAGTACCGTTCCCAACGAATTTATAAAAAAGGAAAGAAAAAGAGGGCCCAACTCTCAGGTGGCGGGGGAGCGGGCCGTGTTTCCAGGCACGCCCACGCTGCCCCGCTGTCCCCGCGGTGCCCCCCGGACGCTCCCGGCGCTCCGCGGGCGCGGCGCGCTCGGGCGGCCGCGGCGGAGCGCGGGGCGGCCAATCAGCGCGGCGCCCGCGGGCCCTGGCCAATGGCAGGCGCCACATTGTTGTCAAATGTTGCCTAATGGCAACGCGGGCCGCAACAATAGCGCGAGTGCGGCGCGGCGGGCAGCGCGCTCCGCTCCGCTCCGGCCGCGCCGCGTCCCGCGGGGCTCCGCGCCCGCCCCGGCCCGGCCCGGCCCCACCGCCGCTCTGCCCGCCCGCTCCGGGCTCGCCCGGCTGCGGAGGTGCTGCTCGGGAGACGGGGTGGCTTTTTTTTTTTTTTTTTTTTTTTTCCCCGCTATTCTCTGCTGGATTTTAGCCTCTGCGGCTCGTGGCGAGGGATCCTGTCGTTGAAGGTGCCGGATTGTTCTTTGGAGGGACGCTGCTAGTCTGTGGCCGCAGTTGCAGGGGGACGGGGGAACGGAGCTTAGCGAGCAGCTCCGGTTGCACCGGGGCGTCGTGGGGAGCGGCGACCCCGCAAGAGCGGACGGGAGAGGTCGGCTTTGAGCCTGGCGCGATGAACTTGGTGCTGCCCCGCCAGATGCGCACGGAGAGCAAGGAAGCGAGAGTGATCTAAGTTTTCTTGGATTTTCTTGTGTTAGCTTTGCTTTTCGGGCGCGGAGGGGAGGAGGGCGCGGAACGGCTCCCGACGGGCCCCTCCTCACTTGAACCCCGCTCCGGGGCCGTGTGCTGGTGCGGGGGGCCGGGGGCGTCGAGCGAGGCGAGAGGACGGGCGCTGGGGTTTGCATGCCCGCTCCCGGGGCTCTGTGTGCCCCCCACTCGTGATTGCGCTTGAAGGCGACGGGAGCCTCTCCGCGCCCGGGCGCGGCTGCGGCGCAGGGGCTCCCCCGCCCCGCGTCGCTTTGGGGGAGGCCGGGGAGGGGGGGCCGCTCTCTCGGGGCGGGCTCGCCGGGATGGAGCTGCGGTCGGAGCTGCCGAGCGTCCCCGCCGCGCCCCCCCCGGTGCCCCCCAGCTCGGTGGCGGCGGCGGCGGCCGCGGCGGCGGCCACGCTGCCGGTGAGCGTGGCCGGGAGCTTGCTGCGGGCGCCGCCGCTGCTGCTGCGGGCGGCCGAGAAGTACCCGCGGACGCCCAAGTGCGCCCGGTGCCGCAACCACGGGGTGGTGTCGGCGCTGAAGGGCCACAAGCGGTACTGCCGCTGGAAGGACTGCATGTGCGCCAAGTGCACCCTCATCGCCGAGCGCCAGCGCGTCATGGCCGCTCAGGTGGCGCTGCGCCGGCAGCAGGCGCAGGAGGAGAACGAGGCCCGCGAGCTCCAGCTGCTCTACGGCACGGCCGAGGGGCTGGCGCTGGCGGCCGCCAACGGCATCATCCCGCCCCGGCCCGCGTACGAGGTGTTCGGCTCCGTCTGCGCCGGGGCCGGCGGCGAGGGAGGCGCCGGCGCCTCAGGTAAGGCCGCGCTGGGTGCCCTCGGAGCGGGGGTGATGGGAGGAAGGGGCCTGGAGAGGCGGCGGGAGATGAGCGGGGCGCTCCGCGGGGCCCGCCAGGGGCAGCCCCACTGACGGTCTCTTCCTTCTGCACCCCCGACCCGCAGAGTCCAAGATGCAGAAGTTCGAGCTGTTCCCCAAGACGCTGCTGCCGAGCCGCGCCGTCACCCCGCAGCAGGCGGGCGGGAAGCCCCTCTCCCCGGACGGCGAGTCCGTGCCCGGCACCTCCTCCCCGGATGCTCGCCACGGCTCGGGCTCGGAGAACGGGGACGGCGAGTCCTTCCTGAGCTCTCCCGTCTCCAAGGGCCCGAAGGAGGGGGAGGAGAGCCCGGGCTCCATCAGCCCGCTGGGCTCGGACTCGGGCTCGGAGGCGGACAAGGACGAGCAGGACCCGTCGCCCTCGGCCGGCGGCCGGCAGCGGACTCCCATCGACATCCTGACGCGCGTCTTCCCGGCGCACAAGCGCAGCGTGCTGGAGCTGGTGCTGCAGGGCTGCGGCGGGGACGTGGTACAGGCCATCGAGCAGATCCTCAACAACCGCGGCCCGGAGAAGGGCCCCGAGGAGGGCTGGGCCCGGGACGGCGCCTTGCAGGGCCTGCCGCCCACCCCCGCCGCCGCCGCCGCCCACCACCGGCCCTTGATCGCCGGCGCCATGGCCCCGGCCATCGGCACGCTGGGCAGCCGCTCCGCGTTCTCCCCGCTGCAGCCCAACGCCACGCACTTCGGGGCCGAGGCCGGCGCCTACCCCCTGGGCACCCACCTGGGACTGAACCCGCTGCGCCTCGCCTACTCGGCGCACAGCCGGGGACTGGCCTTCATGACCCCCTACTCCACGGCCGGGCTGATGCCCACGCTGGGGTTCCGGCCGCCCGTGGACTACGCCTTCAGCGACCTGATGCGGGACCGCTCCGCCGTGCACAAGGAGCAGGTGTACTCCAGCGGGCTCTACGGGCCCATGGTCAACAACACCCCCGAGAAGCAATAGCGGCTTCCTAAAGCTCGTCTGTGTAGAGGTAGCTAGGTAGGCACGGGTGGACGGACGCGGGTGGCTTCCTCCCCTCCGTGCAGGCGGTGGTTGCGTGCAGAGCCCGGCGCGGACAGGCGTAGGTGTATTAAGGTGATAAAGGTGCACTTTTCATTGTCCAGACATGAGTCGCTCTTCGTTGCTTATGGCCATAAGCATGGATATCCTCAGCGCGTCGTGGGGTGTGCACACACACGCGCGCTCTTTCCCACACACATACATATATATATATATGTATACTAGCAAGTGTATAATGTTATAAAATGGAAATCTAAGTTATTAATGTAACTCGTAGGTGAACTTGGTATTAACGTTAAGCTAAAGGTTAGGCAGCGCATTGTAATACTTACCAGGCATATAGATGAAACATTGTCAAATTGAAAACCTTTTCCTTCTCGCCCCCAGAAACGTTGCGGTCTGTATATAACATTGGAAAGTAGATATATTTGTAACTGTCCGTAGGACCCTGGCGCCAATGGTGTATGATGGTTTAATAAACCTCCTTCATTTGTGATCTGCAAGAAAATTGCTTTCTTGTTCCGATGTAGCAAACTTCTTGCTGTTTCTAACAGGTAATTCTGTGTTTCCATTTCATAGAAATAAATGTTATTTTCTATTAAAAAAAAAATCGGTCTTATGAATGGTAAGTGGTATTTTATGAGATTATGGAAATGTGTTAATGGGAAATTCATTTGACAAGTACATTCAATATTTAAAGGAGTTTATGCAAATAGTACAAACATGTTTACTACATTTTTATCATGGTCAAACTAGATATTCTTTAGATAAATTTATAAATAAAAATGAAGCGAACAAGCAAGAGCAAATTCCTTATCAACTGAAATTGTCAAATACGTTTATTTTTGGTCTTTTTCTTATTTATGCCTGCAGAAAAAAAAAAAAATCCCCCAAAAACCTACAGAAGTATAAATTTAAGCAGGATTTCTTCCCTTGATATCTTGATGTTTTTTGACATATTTAGGAAATTTGGAAATTTGGCATTGTCGCAAAGAGAAGCCTGGTTAAATCAAATCCCACCTTGCGAACTGCGGGTTGTGTAGCAGCAATAAGGTTTTACCCCTTGTATCTGAAATCGGATTGTGCCTTTCAAGTGTTTTTTGTGTCAAAATAAGAACAGGGAT